TTGCACACGCCCCCTCTCCCCCCCTCCCCCCCGCTGCGCTCCCCCTAATCTGTCCTCCCGATTCCTCCTTGGGTTTGATTTCGACTGAAGACGCTCGATTGCGGTCGAACATGCCGCCTTTCCCTCGTCTCGGCAGACACAGCAACCGTTCCCAACAAGCCCTTGTCGACCTGCCGGCTGCTCCCGCTGCCGCTGTTGTTGCCGCCGGGGGAGGAACAGGAGAGGCTACTTCTTCGAACCAGGCCCAGCCCCGGAGCTCGAGTCTGAACCCAAGCCCTCATCTGCCTCCTGGACAGAGCCATAGCCAAAGCAACCACCACCACTTCCACAGACCTAACCAACATATCCAATCGCACAACCACGCCGAGGCTCAAGGCGCGACCGACCCATCGCCGTCAAATACTACGGCACCTCCTTCTGTCATTTCCACCAACACCACCAACACCACCGCCACCAACACCGAGTCGTCGTCTGTCGCTGACTCTCGAGCTGCACACCAACCCCCAGCATCACATCTACCTCCATCCCAGCAATTGGTACCAGCGCAGCCACTCCCGACTGACATTGGCATTGCAATTAGCGGCGTTCCTCTTCCCCCGCCATACAAGCAGCAGCCGCAGCCCTATACTGCATCACCCATCGTAGGCCCAGGCGAATCTCCAGTTCTCGAAGGCGGGCGAAATCCTGGCTTTACGCCATCTCCTATCCACCGGAGCCAAACCCAGCGATTCAGTTCGTACGCCTCTATACCACCACAGCCCTTGGAGCATCAGAGTCATCAACATCTGCGCAACCAACTTTCACACGGTATCGGATCTGCGTCAGTGGATGACCTACCAGGAACAAGGCACCATCCCAACTCGTCCCCTCAACTGAATTCCCCTGCAGCTCCCGAAAAACGTTCGAAGCGCAACTTCATCAAGGGCATTTTTTCGAGCAATAGCCGTTCTCATAACGATCAGCATCAGTCCTCATCACACGGCTTCACACTCGGACATCATAGAGGTCAGAGCTCTCTCTCCTACGAAAACGGCGTGGGCCTGACACGTCGACAATCCCGCCGGGCGAGCAACCTCCTTGATTCGCAAACCCAGTCGCCCAACACAAGCCCGAACCCCTCGGATCGCGACTGGCACGGTCCAGGCCCAATTGTCGGCCCAGGCCAAGTCTACCAGCAGGGAGCTGAGCCCGCTCCGCTAGCAGGCATTGGAGAATCTGCTCAGAACCAATATACTGGCCCTGAGCCAGTCCAATCAACACAATCGCCCTCGACCCAGCACCTTGTTGAAAGCCCGACTATACGGCAAGTCAACGCTGAGTCTGATTCGTCGCCGACCTACGACCAAGTGGGTTATCACCAAGGCCAGCCAAATCAGCAGGGCCAAAAAGAGGTGGCTCCCCCTCCACATCCACCCCCCCACCAGCACCAGCAACAGCAGCACTCACAGGCCCAGAGCCAAACCCCACCCTCCCAACAGCCCCACGCTCAGGCACTCCCACAAGCACAAGAACAGGCTCACGGGTACAACCACACTGGGTTTGACCAGCAGCAACAGCAGCAGTATCATCTCGCCAACACTTCTCCCACCCAGCCCCAGCACGGCGAGGAGCCGCGAATTTTCCCCGACACCCATTCTGCTGCCGCCTCCGTGCAGTACCCGAATTCTGAAACGCTGTCGCAGGTGTCTCACGAGTCTCCAATTGCCACCGAGCCAGACCAGCGGGCCAACAACCAGCAACCCGCCCAGATCTTGCCCAACGTGGAGCACCCCGCGCGAGCCCAAGAGCCTATCTCGACTCCGAACTTAGCACCCGCGCAGTTAGCAAGCTCATCTGTCCAACAATCGAGCATGGCCCCGCCACCGGGAGCACCTCCCTCCAACCAGCGGCCTGCTGGCGGCGACCGAGAGCCCAGGCCTGTGGCTCTTCGAAGTCAGGCTGAGGTTCCCCCAGGTGTCCCCCCAGGACCCCCTCCTGGTTATCGTCAAAACAATTCATCTGCCGGCCAGTTAACCCCTCTACAGCCTGGGGCCCCCCAACAAGGCCAACCTGGACCTCCTCCTACTCCCTACACATCAGGCGATCATGGACGCCATAGCCCAGCGCCGCCAGACCACGGCGAATCAGAGAAGGCATTTAAGGACCTACGTAAGTTCTATAAACAGACCTTGCTGCTTCCCTCGCTTTAACCCTCAAATGCACCCCTCCCTCTCGCAGCCCGCCTTTTGTAGCTTGGACTAACGACAGGCAGTCACCAAGTACAAGAATGTCAAGCGTCTCTATTTCGATGGAAAATCACAGATCGAGAATTTCGGGCGACAAATCGAACAGCTTCAGAATGCAGTCGCCAACCAGCGCATGTCCCAATCTAGAACAGCCCTGGACGATAGCGAGTATTCCAATAGATTCAATAGGTTAAACGGAGCAATCAACAACCTCGCCTTCAACATTCGCAAGGACTGGCGAGCTGCCCCTCCCTGGCTCGCAGCATACGTGAGCTCGGATGCATTGAAAACTGGCAAACAGGAGATGACGGCTGTGGGAAGAGCTGTTATCTCCCGATGGCTGATGGACCAGATCTTCGACAGGGTCTTCCATCCTGGACTGGACCCTGTATTGAGCTCTCATCTCAAGGGAATCGAGCTGAACATTCGTGGAAGCGCTTACACATTGAACAGCCAGGAAGAATTTGACGCACTGACGACTAAGATTGTTAATTGGCGGATGGCCACGCTCGACGGGCTGAATTCCGTCCTGAACTCACCCGCCACGACTGAACATCGACAAAACTTAACGTCCATGTCCACTTCCAACCTGACAGCCGAGCTCTACCAGTACCTTAACGAGCCTCCTCCGCCTGGAGTAGAAGGAAGCGCATCCATGATTGTCGAACTCGCAATTGGAATCACCGCCAACCTTCCCCTTGAAAGTCGAGATGTCGCCATCGTTTATCCTCTTCCAGGCGAACTCGTCCAGCCAGGAATTATGGAGATTGAGAAGGCGCCGTTACCTCCCTTGGATGATACGGACTCCGGGGACGACAAGGAGGAGAAAGGTAAGAGACAAGCGGAACAATATCCTAGCCAGACGAGGAACAGTCTTGGGGATATCTCTCCATCTAGCTGGACTGATGGCGCCACCTCGACCTTAGAACCAACAAGTGCTGACAAGGGACTCAACCCAGATGAACCGAGGGTGCGATTTGCCGGATTTCCAGCCCTGGAAGTGCGTGGTAGACAAGTATTGATGAAGGCACCTGTCTGGACACTGTGAATCGCCCACGAGGGGGCAAGTTTGTGAAGATTAGGAGTGGGCCAAGCCCTCGAGGAGTGACAGTGTCAATGCCCTGCCTAAGCAGTGTGGACGTACTGCCCTCGATGACCTTGGCCATGGAGATCCTGCCACTTGAGTTGACTTCGAAAGTGAAAATAGAGGCAGACGCCGTTGTGGGGAGGTTGGCTGGTTGAGGTCCAGCAGAATGACTGGAAGACGAACATGTAGAATGGGTTGGTTTAGAAGCGGAGGTGGTGATGGAAAGACATGAAAGAGGCATGAGATGATGTGAAGGCTTGAAATACCAGTAAGGACATGATGGACGAAATGGATAACTGCATGATAGTAAAGTCTCGGACATAATCTGGTCGAATTCTTCTTTTACGTTGTTATTTGTACTGTTGATCTGAGGTTTTGATATGTCTCTGTTTGTGATTATAGCGGTTTAGACTCATAAGAGAAGAACCTGACAGCTCTGGATTCTAATCATGACCTTGTTTGGGCTGAGAGAAAGCTATATTCTACGACTTCCGATGGTCTATGGACACTGTTTTAGTCGTCTTTTCGATGTGGATCATGCGAGCTGCTCTTTACAACTCGTTTGAGGATGGTGGCATTAGTGGATATGAGTCGAAATGGCGAATCCTGCGTCTGTGGCGGACAGCCCTTGAAATGGATCCTTGTCAGCCTTGGGCGCCCCAGAGATTAGGGAAATGATTCGGGGTGACAGTGCCAATGCCAGCGCCAGCCACACTTTGGATTTGCGGCAAAGGGACCTGGACGGCCTGTTGAGTCACAGTGAGAGGCTCAGAAAGTGGATTGACCTTGGGCAATGACTCTTATTCTGCCCATTCCGCCCCTCCTCGAAACCCTGTTGCAGTTTAGCTCTTGATGGAACCCCGCCGCAGGGACTACCAAGTCACTCCAAGTACTCTCTTGCCCAAATAACGAGCAGAGCTACAAGAGGCAATACCTAAAGTCCGCTAGCGACTGCCCACTTCTTTTTTCCCTCTGTCAACTTATTAATACAAGAGCAACCACGACGAAAATCTTCAGCTTCGAACTCTACATTCGCAGTTTATCCGACACTCAGCCCTCTCATTCCTCTCTCAGCCCTTCGCTGTCGAGAGCTCATACCACTCTTCAGGTTCTTACCGATTCTCTTCACCATACTCCAAACACAGCAGACGCAGGAGCAGTCTCAATCCATCATGGCGGTTCGAGCGCAGTTTGAAAATTCCAACGAGTGAGCAAACCACCCCGCCCCCGCCATCGTGACCTGGTCTTTCGTCAACTTGCAGCACACCGCAAATGCCGGACCCGGGGATGGAGGGCAGACGAAGAGATGCGAGGCAAAACAAAATGTACTGACTGTATTCTAGAGTGGGTGTCTTTGCGACTCTTACAAATTCGTATGCGTTGGTAGCACTCGGTGCCAGCGAGAACTTCTACAGGTTCGTTATAGTCCCCAAGCAATCACCCACGGATGCACCGTCTACGGGCTCGGCTGACCATGGAATTGGAACTGCAGCGTCTTCGAGGCCGAACTCCAAGATGTCATCCCCACAGTCCGCACAACCATCGCCGGCACTCGCATCATTGGCCGCCTCACAGCTGGAAACCGCAAGGGTCTCCTTGTCCCCACCACAACAACAGACCAAGAGTTGCAGCACTTGCGTAACTCTTTACCAGACAGTGTCCGAATCCAGCGGATCGAGGAGCGCCTGTCAGCACTTGGCAACGTCATTGTTGCGAACGACCACATAGCCTTGATCCACCCGGATCTGGAGCGCGAGACTGAAGAGATCATCGCCGATGTTTTGGGCGTCGAGGTTTTCCGTCAAACGGTAGCTGATAACGTCTTGGTCGGCAGTTACATGAGCCTCTCGAACCAGGGCGGACTGGTCCACCCCAAGACCAGCATCCAAGATCAGGACGAGCTGTCAAGTCTGCTGCAAGTGCCCCTGGTCGCAGGATCTGTAAACCGCGGCAGCAATGTCGTCGGCGCCGGCATGGTCGTCAATGACTGGCTCGCCGTCACTGGTCTCGACACCACCGCAACCGAGCTCAGCGTCATTGAGAGTGTCTTCCGCCTCGGCGAGGGACTCGGACCCAGCAACATCAACACCAACATGAAGGATACGATAGTGGAGAGCTTCTACTAAGCAATTTATACCCACATCATAGCTCATCGCATCTCTTTCTGTCAATGGTCTTGTTACTTCGCTTGGGTTCCCGGCGTTGGGTGGAAAGGAAAGCCTCTTTTTTTCTAGTTTCTTCCTACCTTTTAGCAAATATAAAGGTACTTTTTGGGGAAACAGCAACTTTAATGATGTTTCGGAACGATATAGGACATGTGGCGAGCGTAAAGTTTACCACATATGCATGGGAGGCGTTGTGTGATTGGGAAGCTTGTCAATGATCCTCTGGAGATATCATTCGCCTAGAATTATGACAATGGTTATGTCCAATCAAATTGTGAAGACCAACATAGGTTTCCTGTGAAAGTGTACTTTTCTGTCTATTTCCCCTCCCACATATATCTGCTGTAGAGTAATCATCCGACACAATGCCAACTTACCCACTTGGGAAGGGCCCTGAACCGTGGGCAATGGTACTTGGGAGTCTGATAGGGCCGAGTGGAGAATCATCTGCATGCCCCTCGTTAAGCTCTCACCGCTTGCTGTATTTGGAGGTAAATTTATCTGAATACCCCACCATGATTCTTTGGTGATGGATAGAGTCGATAGACGGCAGCGCAGTAGTCGAAAACCTCTACAAGCTACTTACAATAATTCATATTCCCTTTGATACAGAGGGCGAGATGAGTGAAAGACCGACACATCTAGAGCCATCGAAGCTCGGCACGAAAGAGTAGTAAGAAAGAATTCAACCACCACCTCCCCGCTCTCTCTTGCTTCGCGCTGCCCCGACTTACACTCTCTGTGCGCAAAACTGCAGCTGGAACAAGCTCTACACGAACGAGCTGGCCAACAACTCCTCGAACCCCAGCGACATCGGCACCGTCTGGTTCGACGACTCCGACGCCGAGGCCAAGATCCTCGAGTTCCTCTCCGCGCGGTCCGACCTGTCCCGCTCCGACACCACCTTCCTCGATCTGGGCTGCGGCAACGGATCGCTGCTCTTCTCTCTCCGGGAAGTAGGCGACGACGAAGACAACGACGACGATGAAAGCGACGGCGATAATCAAGCACAAGAAAAACCCCCGGGCCCATGGACGGGACGCATGCTCGGCGTCGACTACAGCCCCCAGTCCGTAGCGCTGGCAAACCAGATCGCCTCGAGCCGCGACAAGGATGAGGTGGCTCGCATGAGCTTCCAGGAGTGGGACATCCTTGCAGGATCATACTCGGACGTCTTGACCGCCTCGGAGGCCGACGGTTGGGACGTGATCCTCGACAAGGGTACGTTCGATGCGATCTCGCTGAGTGACAACCAGGATGCCCAGGGCAGGCGGATCTGCGAGGGCTATCGGGAGCGAGTGCTCCCGCTGGTAAAGCAGGGGGGGTTGTTCATCATCACGAGCTGTAATTGGACGGAAAAGGAGTTGAGGGCCTGGTTTGAAAGCCCGGGCGGTTTCACAATGGACGGCCAAGTTGAGTATCGCACTTTTTCGTTTGGTGGCGTCAAAGGCCAAACCATCACTACACTCTGCTTCCGTAAATCATAGCCCTCCTTCTCCATTGTCTTGGTTTCGATTCATGATAGCTGTATTGGTGATAATTTGTATTGGTCAAGTATACATGCGACATTGACAAAGAAAGTCCAGAGAGGGTGAGCCAGTTTCCACATACCAATAATGTATAGAACCCTTCTACGTTGTTACTTTTGGGTGCTGTAGTATGATTTATGTACATAATATCTCGGTTCTGTTCTCTAGCGTCTTGAACGCCCGCATCAATAGAAACTTTTTTTTTATTCAGGATGACCAAGTTCAGTTTTCTTTACCTCCCTACGCTGGGTGGGCGCTATACCAAACTCCTAGCATCCATAGAAAACACCCTTGATGGCTCCATTTTCGGCCGTGACGGTTTATTTCTTTACCATTGGGTTTCTATGCGATAATTGTGGTATGTCTTGACCAATACGTCGTCGATTGGGGTATGATCATGAAAGCGAGGAATAGACGTTTGGCAAAACAGGAATTGCTTCATTACTTCTCTCATCTATGGCGATGTATTCATTGGCTCTCCGCCAGCCGCAGTTCCTGTGGGGTCAGCCCCAGCTGTCGTGGCAAAGTATCGAACATCCACATCGTCATCCTTCTGCAGCTTCTCGAGATTGGGAATAATCTTTTGCTGAATGAGCTCCTGGCCGCGCGGCGAAGGAACAATCTCGGCGCCTTCCTTCTCGAGCGAGTATAGGGTGCCCTCCTCAGGCAGACGGCGCAGCGAGCTGATGAGGACTGCGTAGGTCTTGGCGACATTGAAACGGATATTAGGGATCTCATCCTCCACCATCTTATCCAGCATAGGCAATACCGACTTGGCAATGACGTCCAAGCTCACTACGCTTGCAAGTGTCTGTGTATCAGAGTTAGCAATGGGAAATTATTGTGATGCCTCGTCCGGATTGGATCTCCATCTTACCGAAATAGCGAAGCAAGTTGTCATCCTATACAGATAGTTGGGGTGGTTGCCCATGGCCATCACCTTGGGAATGATGGCTTCACTAGCCCATTCCACGCCAAACACCTCTGTGAGCTTCTTCAGGTTATGTGTAGCAGCCTCTCGGATTGAGAAGACCGTATCGCCCAACCAACTCATGCACAGGTTGCTAAGTTTCTCATCGAAGAAAGTAACACCCAGCTGGCTTGCCAGCAGAGGAATGTATTCAATGATTGCCAGGCGAACTCTCCATTGCTTATCCTCAGCTAGTTGCACGATGGCTGGTAGCAAGGATTGTGAGAGGAGCTCAATGCCGATAACTAGAACACAATCCAGGTTAGGCAATTTCTACTGTATTCAAGGGAGAAGCTATCCTTACCTTGATTGACCAGCTCGAGCTTGGAGATAATGTGAAGTCTAACCTCAGGGAACTCATCCTTGAGCATCTGCAGGAACATGGGAAGCAAGTGGTTAATAGTCCTGTTCACGATTAGCAATCTATAGCCAAATTAGGTCAAAAGAAAATCATACTCTTGTTTTCCCAGGATGGGTGCCAGGCCACTAATTTGGGTTCCAAGAGCGGCCCGTACGTGTTGCGATGTGTCAGAAACAAGGTCTTCAATGCTGCTCATGATGTCGGCAAGTAGAACGGTTCGATCAACGAGCGCACAGAAGCCTGGGATCTGGCCAGCGATAGCTGTTCGGACCTCAGCCTCATTGTCCTTCAGGAGCTTAACAAAAGCAGGAACAAGGTCCCTTGACACAACCTCTTCGTCAACAGCCTTGGCAATCTGCAATTATGATTAGTGTGTGAATATTACACGCCGAGAAGTGCATTTATCTATACCTTTTCAAATCTGTCCGCAATCATGTATCTGACTCTCCAACTCTTGTCCTCAATCAAGTTGCGTAGGGATGTGAGCAAGACGCCGTGACTAGCTTGCTGCTCTTTTGGCACAGCCTCGGCGATCGAAATGAGGATTTCGACTGTGAGAAGACGGACGCTGTCCTGGTCATCGGAAACAAGATGTTGGAAGAGAGGAATCATTTCGTCCACAACGATGGGGGCGGGCATCTCCTTGACGAATTTGGCAAGGTTTGTAGCAGCCTGGCGACGAACCATTGGGGTCTCATCATGGACGAGTAGGTTGAATTGTTGACGGAGCTGTTCTTGAATCGGTGGCGAGACCTTTGAGTAAGGGGCTGTGAAGAGGCCGCAGCCTGAAACCTTGGATGTGAACCAGTCGGCTTTGGAGAGTCGGATTGCTAGGGGAATGAAGTACTCCTCAACTTGCTGAGGAGACAGATCGTTGCAGATTTTGTTGAGAGATTCGACAGCCTAAGTTCGTCGTCAATGACCAAACTGCAGATAGCCCATGATTTTGATTCTGTAGCATACCTTGTCTCGAACTACGGGTTCTTCGATAGCTGCAAGGTTCTCGAGAGGTGATAGCAGAACATGACCCCACTGAGGACCACCGACATATTCCATGAAGCCTCCGAGCTCCTCGCTCAAAGCTACCAGAACTTCATCTTCGTCCTCGACCGACTCTGGAGCATGGCTTGTTAGCGGGGAAGGGATGATTTAGCGAACCTAGATAGGTTCCAGGTAATCTCACCGTCGAGGAAAGGAATAAGCTCTTCCCTCGTGCGCTCAGCACCTAGGGCTAGGGCGATTGTCGAGAGCCGGTGAATAGCATTCAGTCGGAGAAGAACATCGTCATGCTGATTGAGGATCAGTTTACAGAACAGACTCGGACTCCACCAAATGTCACCGCCTCACCTTTAGCTCGTCGATAAGCACAGCGATGGGATAGAGCTCATCGCTCGTGCTGGTCGCGTCGGCCATACTGTTCCAGAAAGTTCAGGGTGTTTTAGGTGACTGCCGTGTGTCGATACCAGGGGATTGGGAAATAGGTAATGCGGGAGGTGGTAGAAGAGGGAGGCGATCGCAAGAGATGTGGGAGAAAGGCGAGAAATCGTTTGCGCAACGGACCCTCGACCCCAACACACAAAGCTGCAAGCAGAGTCGTCCTGGAATAATTGGTGGCGACCGTGCAAGAGACTGTGCTGGAGATAGGCTCGCGTTGGGGGAGCTTGGATGGTGGGTTGTCCCTTGTCGTGTGAGAGGCCGGTGTTGATGTTAGGATGGGAAATGAGGTCAAAGTAATAATACCAGCCAGTTGTTGGTCTGCTGGCGGGGGGAGTAACGACGTGTGATGGTCAAGGCACATCAGGCTCCTTTGGTGGAGCTTCTAGGTCGTAGTAGAGGGTACTTACTGGCCACCAGCGCTTGACCTCGACTTTCGCCGCAGTGAGGTGCAGATACCCAGCCCTAGGTATTGAACAGCTGATTAGGTGCGGCTGGAAGAGATTGGGAGCCAGGGTGTAGTCCTGCAATTGAGGAGGTGTTTGCGACTTGTATTTTAATTATAACTATCTTATCTGGCCATGTCATATCAAAACAAAGCGTGCTGCATTGCTCAAACATCTACGCTCTGCTCCATGTACTCGTCAGCCAGCAGTGGCGACTTAGGCGAACCACGATGCAAGCTCTGTTGTTGAAGGTACCTGGGTACATGGCCGGGTGGGCTAGGGGGCTCGCTTGGTGCTGGAGCTTCGATACCTGATCGCACCTACCAGCTGGTATCTGCTAACAACACTAGCGCGCTAAGCAACAATCGGGCATCTGGAGCATCAATCTTCCGCCCCCCTGGCATCAGGCAAGTGGCTGAAATAATACATGGCACACCAAATGTCTTCTCACGCGAGGGATCTCGTTTTCTTATTAATAACATTGGATGCACTGACAACTTGTTCGGCTACATGCAACTTGATATTGTAGTTATTCCAAGGTTGATTGTTTTAATGTTGTTTTAAATTCAACGTTGGAGGCTCTGGGCATGCCATGTTTATGTCAGTCGCCTGCTGGGGTGCCTCACAGTGGGCATTCGTCGGCGCCTGGCGTCTATCGGCCTTGGTCCCTACCTAACAGTACGTACCTACGGCTTCCGCCCACGATTTGAGTCACCAAAAAAGTGCCACAACGCTTGCTTCCCCCACCAAGAACTTCTCCCCGAGAAGCTGCGTATCAACACTCAAAGGCGAGGCAAATTCAACTGCACGGCAAAGGGCTAGTCCAGCGATCTGTCTCCGTCGAAATGCCGACCATTTCCGTCGACAAGTACAAGCTTTACGAAGCGCTGGGTCAAAAGTTGGTACCTTCTTCAAGACACCGCAGAACCTGCCCCTCCTAACCCCCACCATACTATCTCAAGCATTACCTTGGCCACATGCTGACCTTTTATCAGATTCACGACCGAGGAGTTTGAGGACCTCTGCTTCGAATATGGTATCGAACTCGACGAAGACACCGAAAATGAAGAACGTCCGATTGTCAATGGCGAGCAGGAGCCTCCCCAGCTGAAGATCGAGATCCCCGCCAACCGATATGACATGCTCTGCTTCGAGGGCATTGCGCTCAATTTGAACATCTTCAGGGGCCGCATCCCTACGCCTAACTATCGGGTCGTTGCGCCAAAGGACGAGGATCAGTATGTCATCAACGTGTTGCCCGAGACTGCCCAAGTTCGACCCTTGATCGCTGGCGCCGTCCTGCGCAACGTCAAGTTCACAAAGGACCGATACGAATCCTTCATTTCACTTCAAGACAAACTCCACCAGAACCTTGCACGGCAGCGAACATTGGTTTCAATTGGAACGCATGACTTGGACACAGTTCAGGGACCTTTCACATATGAAGCTCTCCCTCCCCGGGACATCAAGTTTGTGCCTCTCAACCAGACCAAGGAGATGAACAGCGAGGAGCTCATGACATTCTACGAAAAAGACAAGCATCTTGGGCGATACCTGCACATCATCCGCGACTCGCCAGTATACCCAGTTGTGCTTGATAAGAACAAGGTAGTCTGTTCTCTGCCACCCATCATTAACGGAGAGCACTCTAAGATCACCCTGAACACCACAAATATCTTTGTCGAGGTCACTGCTACCGATGCCACCAAACTTGAGATCGTCTTGGATATGGTGGTGACCATGTTCTCGGAATACGTCGCT